GTACATCCAGCAAAGGGTGAAGTCGTGCACTTTTATCCAGCTGAGAAATAACCCAGTGAACACAACCTCGCTCACACTGATGGCGGACTGAGGAAGTTTACACGGAGGCTCATTTGAATGATAGTAAAATCAGTACCTTTACATAATGAGGCTGAAACACCAGAGTGAGATCAGACGTACAGGCAGGACGCTACAGTGTGGCCGCATGAGGCAGAAAGCTGTTGGCACGTCGGTGTAAGTGCTCGGTGAGTGGAAAAGGACGAGAAACGCGCCCCAGACCCACAGAAACTGCAAACCGAGTCACCGAGACGCACCCACGAGTTTAAACTGGCAGTTAAACCAGTGAGGTTCACTAAGACCTAACATCGTTCTTCTAGAGTCACAGGTTTGCGCCACGGACGCGCGAGAAAAACTTTCAGCCACAAACTCGATTTAAGTTCTTCACTGAGAGTGGAAAAAATCACTCAAAAGTCACACCTTTAATGTGAAAAGGCAACAATAGTGGGTACAAACCTTGGACAGGTTAGAATCGATCCCAGATCCTCCGGTTCTGCGTTCGGGAAACTCTGCTTCTTCTTCTTCTTCTCCACGACCCGCTTTCTCCAGCGCTGCTCAGCCAAGCGCACTGCCCCGCTGTTCCTTCACGGAGAGGCGCCGAGGGCAGATGGACAAACGCAAAAGCAGCAGCTGTTGGACAAAGTCAGGTCCAAGCAACATTTTACTCCTGGGAGCTTCTCGATAAAGAAGCAAAGACGTGTGGCTTTAGTCCTCAGAAAGAGTCGAAGTGAACTCTGACCGCAGATGACCAATGTCTCCGATATCCACCGGACGTGTCCACTGGAGGGCACAGTTAGGCTGTGCGAGGACAAACCTGTTGCTGTCGCCTCTGGGATGTGTTCCGCTCACTGCTTTGAGCGGATGACCCACTGACCTGCTGTGCCATACAGCCCCGGGCTGAACAGTGAACCGACTTTACAAATATTTACAAATATTTCTCCAACTATTCACGCGGTGAGAGTTTAGCTCCCACATAACTCCGGTGAGTCCTGGGATGATTCAGTTCTGAGTGTTTCAAACTATTTCCTGGTTACGCTTTTGCACTAATGCGGTCATTTTTTATAGTTTAATTCTGACTAACTCATGCACACAATAAGAAATAAACCACAGTTACGCAAAACTAAAGTTACGCATAAACATTAGTGACAAAAACATTAAAAGATCACATATGTAGACACAGCAGCTCTGGTCTGGACATTTTTATTTAAAAGCTGGCATACACACAGGAGATTACTAATTAAACTAATCGCCCATATGGCCAAATCTTTGAATCTATAAATTTTGAAATATATATATATATATATATATATCAAATTAAATCAACCTGTGTCAACCTTGCTAAGAGGCATTTAACCAAATATTATCAGTGGGGTGTACTTATATATTTGAGGTTTTGTGGATCAGAAAAAATCCCAAATAAACTCAAACTTGTGCACTTAATGACTGTTTTTTTTTAACTCATGAAAGTTGCTGTACAGTCGTTCCACTGTGGAAAAAGGATAATTCAAAGGAATCATTAAAAGCCCCAAAATTACCATGAAATTCATTCAGTGCATGCAAACTTCTGACCACAACTACAGATGCTGGGCAAACACATGTAAGCAGCATATGCTGTGAATGGGCTCATTCATAGTAAGCAGAGATACAAAGACTGAAATTCTGAGCTGATGCTACTTTTTTAAATGGAAGTTTAGCTGATTATTTATTTGTTTTTGTATTCATTTATTCCTTTTTTGTCACTTTCCTCCTGCGGTGACAGAAAAACAAAGAACTCTTTATTATTTTTTAAAAAACCTGAACTCTTTATCACATTATTGAACATTCAGCCTGCACAACACTGATGCTACAATGTGGCTTGTAAACGTGGACGGGCTATGAGCCCCACTGATAAACTGTTGCATTAATAATAAAAAGCGATATTTGTATAATCTGTAAGGAGGTCGTAGCTGCTTTTAAGGCCAACTATAGTTTGACTTTTATCGTGACTCCACATGAAATGACATTGTTGAGAT